TTCTGGATATTTTAGATAATCATAACATTTTAAAGATATATTTATTATTTAGTGATGATTTTGACAGACTTGAATAAATTTCTTCACAAATGAAAATTATCTCTTTAAGAAACACTAAAATCTCTTTTGTGAGTCTACTTTTCTCAAGTGTACCTACTTTTGTGTTTCTGGGACACTCTACATCTCTCTATTTCAAGTTTTCTTACACTGTATTGTTTTAGTTCCAACCATTTCCTGCCTGTCTAGACCAATTTGATGGTAAACTCTGAGTTATGTCTTTTATCTTTGTACCTATAGGTTATAGCACGATAGATGCTCAACAGGTACTTATTGAAGTATACTTTAAAAAAAAAATTCTTGTATTTGTCCAAAACATACCTAGTTCACAACTCTATGCTTCATTTTACAGATTTTGTTGAGAAGAATCAATGGTAAAGCCATGAAATCAAATCAAAAGCAGATCACACAGTATTTGGTGCACTCAGAAGCCATATATGAAGATATTAGGAAGCTTGGCCCGAAATCTCTGGTGAGAATAGTGGGCCCACTTCTTTAAACAGAGAAACATACGGTTCCCATCTGTGGGGTCAGAATAAGGTAGATTAAGAAGTTATGGATTTGCAGGGAGACCAAAAGGAGGCTCCAGGAAGAAGGGAAATTGAGACAGATGTTTCATGGAATGAGGGAGCCTAAGGGAGAAACACATTCCAGACACATTGCCTTGAATCTTTAGCTTTGTAGGAAAAATGTTTGCACATAACTTTTTTACAGATAATTGTTTTTCCACTGATTTGATGTGAAGCTGTATGATCTCACTTGTCATCCAATATAGTGAGGAAAAACAGCTTTTGTGTGTTTAACAGGAACCGTTTTGCTCATGCTCACTTACTAATGAAATGTGAATGCTGAACAACTTCTAAAACCAAGAGAAAGGAATGCCTTTTCAGCTCAGCAAAATTGCAGAACTTTAACCTCAAAGTGCTTGGCTTTAGAGCCGTTTGCACTGTGGACACATATATTCTCACTACTAAATGGAAGTGATTTAAGCTTCTGTCATTTTTTAACCATTTTCATACTAGGATATGAAGGTGTGAGGCAATGCATGCAAAGAATTGAGAGCAGAGAATCATGAACACCTGATTTGCCGTGTGGTAGACTTTTATGCTTATGCTGCAGTAACATGAATTTGGGCATAAACACAAATGGCCAGAAAACACCTCTCCTGTTTTATTTCAAGCTACAGCTGGCAACACTCAAATGTAAATGTAATTATGCCTCTGATATATTCACTAATTCTTCCAGAGTTTTCCTCTATTCTTTTGCCTTTATACTTTATTTTACTCTGACTTGCTTCCTAGTGCATCCACTTTTTCATCTGTTCAGTGTGTT